TGGGGGAGGGAGGCATGTGTGTGCATCCTGAATTCTTCAGGGTTCACCAATGTATCTTGGTGTCTAGTCAATCTTCGTAACAGAAAAAGGCATTCATGGTTGGCTGCTTGGAGCAGAAAGCAGGAGAAGCATCTGGAATCCCTTCCTCCACCCAGCCCAATCCCTACCCCCTCTCACCGAAGTGACCTTGCGGTAGATTTGTGCAGCATTCTGGCACTCGGAATAGGGATACTCCGAGGTAGCCATCTCCAGCATGCACATGCCAAATGCATACACGTCCACAGCCTCGTCGTACTTTTCTTCGTACATCTCGGGGGCCATGAATTCCGGGGTCCCTATAGAATCCACAACAGGCTTCAGGCTGCTGAGCCTTCCTTCAGGCCTGGTCCCTCCACTTGGGCATACCATGGGTCAGGCAGCCCAGGGGGAAACCCCAGGAATTCTGGAGTGCAAGTGACTAACCCTGGCCTTACAGTGTGTATTGGGGTCCTCTCAGTGTCCCTATGGTCTCCTAGTTCCATGAATGGAGAAGGGAAGGGGGTCCTGCAGAAGGGAAGGGGGTCCCAGGTTCTCAGGTGTATAGGAATGTAGTAACGGCAAGGACCCTCTAGGAGGAACGCACCAATCACGCTCTTGGCAAAGGAAGCACGCTTAAGAGTGGCCAGGCCCAGATCCCCGATTTTGACAGAGCCTGTGGGGCCGGTGATGAAGACATTGTCGCACTTGAGGTCCCTGTGCAGGATGGGAGGAACCCGGGAGTGTAGGAAATGAAGGCCCCGTAAGATCTGGCGACTCCAGCGCTGAAGGACCCGGGGCTTCATCTCTCGAAACCGCCTCAAGTACCTAAGAGAGGGGAGCATACCTAGGATCATTGTGGTCCCTGCTGGAAAGTTCCCTCTGACCCATTCGTGACATTGTCTCTGCATCCTTTGCCCTCAATTTTCTAACCTAGGTCTTTGCAGGGCCCCTGAGAGAAAGGGGGTAGGGTAATTGAGTAGATAGACCTGGGGTTACAAAATTGTTTTGGTGTAAATGTGCAGATAGGGCTACAGCCAAGGTGCTGTGGGAACAGAGGAAGGGATGACTAACTGTCTCAAGCATGGGAGAGGGCTTCACAGAGGAAATAACTTTTCTATTTTGAAGGAGGAGTAGAAGTTCAAGGGTGAAGAGGGGACAGGATGGAGACTTTCCAGGCAAGAAGGGACACCATGCTCAAAGGCGCAGACAGTTGCAAGGGACAAGGCTGGGTGGGAGGAGTGCCCAGGGATTCTTTGTTTGGAACTTAGGCTGAAGAAAGATGAAGTAGGATCCTATGGACTTTGTAAGTTAGCCAATGTGGACTTTATCCCCAGGACTGTGGGAAATCTTGCAGAGATTTTGAGGAGCAAGTCAGAAGGTCAGATTTGCCCCTGGAAAAGATCCTCATCTCCAGGAAGATGGGGTAGATCTAGGAAGGGCAGAGCCCATAAAATCGTTTAGGTCAAGGAGGTGACAGCAAGGTGGGGCCAAGGATAGAGTGGAAGCCCAGTGGGAAGAGAGATCAGTTTTGGGGTAGTGACAGAGCTAAGACACCCCAGTTTTCAACTGCCATTCTGAGTGAACATTGTCATCCCTCCATCCAGCCAATCTGATAGGAGGGGGATGGTAAAACTGATTTTAGACAAGGGGTATAGGGAGTTTTGAGGAGACTGAGACTGGTTTAGGAAGCAGTGGAGAGAGTCCCACCCTCTCCCACCCACCCAGGCCAGAGCTCACGTCTTGAGCGTGCCCGAAGTCATGAGTTCCGTGACCAGCACGATGCAAACCTGGCCCCTCAGCACCGACTTCCAGGAGTCGTAGAAGCGGACAATGTTGGGGTGCTGCAGCCCCTTGAGCATCTCCACCTCCTCCGAGAAGCGCTGCCGCTCTGCTCGAGATAGTTTCCGAGTCTGTGGGATGGGTAATGGGGGGGGGTGCGTCAGACCCAGACCCTCAAGAAAAGGACTGGGGACCTGGAGTAGAGCAGGGGCGGGGGGGGGGTGCAGAAGGATGAGGATTGGAGTCCACCGATGAGGTCGAGTTGATGAGATCACTCCCCGAAAAGGCTGCACATCCCCAAGCTCCCGGTCCTTTTGGGTTGCTCTACAGATACACCCATGCTGGGCCAGGGTCGGCCCCCTAGAACCTCTTCTGGATACAAGCGTCTTTATGCAGCCCGGTCCGGGAACCTGGAGCTCAATAGCGCCTTTGTGGCCGTCCTGGCCGGCCGCGGGGTAGGAGGGGGTGCCTGGGGGCCGGCAGCGGGCAGGCAGGCAGCAGGCGGACCGCGGGCAGAGAATTGGGGCCGCCAAGGGGTTGGCCCCAGAAAGTAGGAACTGGTAGATTCAAAAAGAAGGCGGAGGACTGGGGAGTAAGGTAGAGAGAAAGAAAAGATCCAGAACTAGGCACTAAGAGACCGCCTCCCCCCATGGCTGTCCTGCTCCCTCCCTGTCCTCCCCCCCTCCCCAAGATTGGCCGCTTCTCCTGGACTGGCCTACAGCCTGGGGCGTGGCATTGGCAGGCGCAAGGGCTGAGACCGGTGCCAGGGCCAAAGTGAAGGGACTCTTCTCCCAGGCTTTGTCCTCCAGGCTGGATCTGAACTTTCTGGCTCCCCGATGGAAGGAAGGACCCAACCACCATCTTTCTGAAGTTCAAGAGCTTAGCTAAGGCCTTTGGATCTGGGAGGAGACGGCTCAGGTAGGCAGAGGGTAGAAGCAGGAGTGATCTCAGAGCTGGAGTTTCCTGTCTTCCCTCTCCCTGCAGCTGTGGAGAAGTCCAGAAGTCTGCTCCAGAAGGGGCCTAGGAGCGCACCATTCTGCCACAAGTACCCGCCCCCCCCAAAAGAAAAATCCTTCTGCAGGTGGAAAAGACCCTGGTCCAGCTCCTGCCTGCAGTATCCCAGTCTCTTAGTCTACAAAGAGGACAGAGGAAAAGCAAGAGGATCAAAGTTGCAATTTCTGGACTTAGGGGAAAGAGAGAGGTAGAAACAGACAGTAGGTACCTAGGGCAGGAAACTGGTGGGGCCAGTTCCCCACAGATCTAAACTGGCTTTCCCACCCGATTTCTCATCCTGTTTTCCAACTCTCCGGGATTTGTAAGACTTGGAAATGAGAATGTTCATGCGACCATGAACAGTCTAAGGTGGAGGAGAGCCACCAAATATTGTCTGCCTGGGTTTCTCCTTTTGATCCCACCCAGAGCCAGACAGCTGATCCCTGCAAGGACAGGAAGACAGGTGGCAAGAAACATACATCTTTCCCTTGATGCTGTTGACCCGGTCTCCCTTCCTAATACCTCTACAGGGTCCCAACCCTGGAGGTGCCACTGAGGGGGCGTCCAGCCGCACCTGCAGCTCACACCAGGCCACCTCTACCGTGGTGTCGGTGTCAAGCCCTCGATACACGGTCTTGAAGGAACCACGTCCAATCTCGATGTCAAATTTGAGGTATCGGCCGTCTGGGGACGTTGCCACAGCCTGCGTCTCTGTGTCCTCCTTTTCTTGCTGCTCGCGCCGCCGCTCCTGGGCCGCGGCGTCTGGGACCCTCGGGGGCTCCCCTAGCCCCGGGGCTCCTGTAGATCCCTTGAGTTCAGGGCGCACGGGATCTGTCGCCTCCACAGAATTCCCTCCAGTCCACGTGCCCTCAGGGGGCTCTTTGGAACTGGGCGGTGGGCTTTTCGTGGGGCCCGGACAAGCAGAGTCCGGAGGATCGGGGGGTTCCGGAACGGGCGAGGTTGGCTGGGACCAAGAGCTCAGCAGACCCAAGTCGACCGAGCTGCGGCGGCTAGGACGGGACGAGCGCGGCCGGGGTTCTGCCTTCCCGGAGAAGCGGCGCGCGCGGCGAGGCGGGGGTCCCAGGCGGGGCGGCCCCGAGGGGGCGAGGAGCTGTAGAGGCCGCAGGGCCAGGTCAGCCTCCGTCTGGGACATGGGGACCGTGGTGTCTGTGGTCCTCGGTGCTAGCATAGGGAAGGGCCGGGCACCACAGCCTGGAGTGGTGGCGGGACTGGCGACCGATCGGTGCGCAGCTCTGGCTGAGCAGCTGGGGCCCCAACCCCTGGCTGGGCGGCCCGGGACCCCGCCCCCGGCCCCGCCCTCACCCCCCAGGGCCGCCCTTTCGGAGCCAGGACCTGCCCGGAGCCAGCCAAGAGCCCAAGCCTCTGCTGCCGCCACGCGCCCTCCTCTGCCCAGAACCCGCTTTCCGCCTCGCCTCGCAAGAGCTGAGTGGTGAAGCGGTGGCGTCACCTCCCTCCCGCACTGTGTCTGCAAAACCTGTTTCGGGTAGCAGGGCAGGAAGATGACATTGCGGCAGGGAGAGGAAACAGGGACCATGGCCCCCAGACCATGGTCCGGGGGTGTGTAGTGGGAGGCCACCACCGGCCTGTACACCCTAGATAAGCCAGCACTACCCAGTCCTAATCTGCTGGAGTAGCCCCAAGCTGAACAGAGGTCAGTGGAATGGCAGTTTTCTGAGTTTGGTGTCTCTCCGGACTGCACATGGATGGGTGCTTGTGCCCCAGGCCACCTACCAGCTCTGCCCTTCTTAGCCACAGCCTAGCCTTGGCCAGAGTGGCTGTTTTCACTGTGGGTTCTCCTTCCTCCCCATTCTGTTTGCCAAAGTCTCCAATAAACCAAAGTCCATATCCGGTTTGCCGCCCCCCCCTCCCCAACTCTCCTTGGCCTCAACTACACCACCCAGATCAGATGGGTGGAGGGAGGGGCTTCAGAATAGTTCAGGACTTCCATGGGGGAGCCATTAAGTGTGTTCACAGAGCAAGCAGTCTGTCCCCAAGCTGTGTTCCATCAGCACTCCTCCACACAGCCCACCAACACATGTGAAACCACAGGCTCACTCGAGCCCCGAGGCCCAGAGGCTCTTCTCCTTCTCAAAGACCCTAGGCTTCCTCTCCCCTTGGCTGAGTTTCTTTCAGGTGGAACAGTTCACAGCCCTCCCCAACCCAATCCAGCAGTAATTTAGGCAGGCAGAGGGAATTGAGATTTTAATATCATAAATCAGTGTGGGCCTGCCTCTCACTGCCAGGCCCCTTCTGGGGCCTCCTGTTTTCATATTGCCTGGAAGGCTGCCTGCAGCCAGGGCTTCCCCCAACCCCTAGGAAGGATCGATCCAGCACCAGCCTGATAAAGGGAGGCAACAGCAGCTAAGGGGGAGGGAGGGGAGGAGACAGAAGCTTGTGCAGGCTCATGTGTGTATTAGGTACTTACGTGTGAAGACACATGTAAAGAGACAGGTTTACAGACTATGCCTCAGGGACAGTCTACCATAGGAGGGGAGGTAGGGCAAGAAGCACAGCCTTTCTTTGTGGCATCTTGGGCTTAACCTATTCCAGGGACAGATACATAGGGAGGATAAGGGAAACATATCCCTAGGTCCCAGCCTTCAGGCCTGGAGCCCTTTGAGTATAGTGGAGTCAAAGATCCAGTCTGTAGAGACAATAGGTCTGTCTCCTTTTGCAAGCCCTAGAAAGGTGGGAGGTAAGTAGTAAGGGAGAGACAGGTCTTCGCTAGAAGAACTTCACACCTCGGCCATCGCTGATGGTGATGATCTCAGCCTTATGTTCCTGCTGTAGGGCCTGCAGAGCTCTCAGTAAGGTCGCCTCATCCAGCCCATGAAACTCTAGATAGGAACAGATGGGTAGTCAGGGACACTCAGTACCTTGGGGAGGGGGGGGGGACTGAGGGAAATAGTCAAAATGGAAGCTGAGATGTTCCCCAGCTAGGAAATGTGTATGCCATTAACACTGCTGCAGCCACTACCCACATCTCCTGGGGACTCCTTGGGAGTCTGGGATAGAAGAAGGCCTGACTCAATATGAAATGAACTCTGCTTATTTCCCCCTTCCTCATTCTGCAGCCTCAGTCCCCATAGCTCACAGACGTCCTTCCCCTTTACTCCCTTTAGTGTCTGGTGAATATCTCCATCTGCTTTGAGAATCACAAGAAGAAGCCTTAAAACACACACACACACACACACACACACGTGCGCGCAAAGAGAGAGAGAAAAGAATAAAAAAGATCCTGAAATCAGCTTTGGGGAGGTTAGGGCCTTGTTAGTAGACACTGAACTTAACTGCACATTTGTACAAATCAGGAGGACCTGTCCTAACAAAAAGTATAGCCAGTACCTCTAGCTAGGACACTGTTAAAGTCCAGTATCAGTATCTGTCCTTTCTAATTGAAAAGGACATGGCTAGGAGCCAAGGACCAATAGCTGGAGATATGGTAAGATATTGTGGAGAGATGTGAAAGGCAGGCAGTAGGCAAGCCCTAACAGGCTTGCTCACCTCATCCCCTCTGAGAGCCCAGCTCAAGTCAGGGAAGTTTGCATTCTGGAGAAGCCTCCAGTTTTACTCAGCCTGAGTGGTGGGCTGGGCCAGGCTGCAGCGCTGAAGTCATGGGGTGATGGTGAAGTAGCAAGCAGAAGCCTGCAGGGAAGTGGGGGAATAGCCAAGAACTTTAAACTCTGCTGGGGCAACCAAGGCTTGACAAACACCCCCGTCACATTACTCCAGAGAAGACTAGAACTTTTGGTGATTCTGCAGATTAGAATAAGGAGTCAGGGAGCCAAGAACTATGAAAGTGTTTACACTGTGTGAAAATCAAAGCATATACAAATCCTTTCCTGGCCAGAACCCAAAGTATTTAAATGGGCTGGGGGTATTGGCCCAATCTCTTCAGCTGACACCCACAAATCTTGAGCCCTCTAAAAGAAGCAAAGGTGAAAGAGAGCCTGAGTCAGCAAGAAATGAGATTTCAGGATTAATCCCCTGCACTGGTTCCTCAACTGGGCTTCTATAGCAGTAATTCTCAACTTTTCATTGGTCACTCAGGACCTTGAAAATCTTGTAATTCTACCCTCAAAAAAAAAAAAGTACATACACCCACACAAATAAAACTAGAGTATTTTTGCATGTGAATGTGGGCAGTTTATGGTATCTTTGGATATGGATTAAGAACTTTTATATTATGGAATTCAGAAACAGAGAAGTGGTTAGAATATCAATTAAACTAGAATTTGAGAGAGAATTATGACAAAATTGAAGAAAACAAAAGCATTACCCTCTTCTTCTGTGTCTTCTCCATTGGTTAGTTCATACAAGGTAAACACTGAGTTGTTCTGGCCACTCCTGGAAACCTGTGGACATCAAACATGAGGAAGGAATTAAAAACCAAGGATCTCCTGAAAGAACATAAAACCCACCAACACTATCCCCCCCTACTTTTTTTTTCCCCGGTACTGGAGTTTGAACTCAGCACCTTGTTTGGCTGGCACTCTAATATTTGAGCTATGCCTCCAGCCTGGTTTTTGCTGGTTATTTTAGAGATGGAATCTCACAAACTTTTCTTTCCAGTTTGGCTTGAAACTATGATATCTCGATCTCAGCCTCCTGAGTAGCTAGGAATACAAGGCATGAGCCACTGGCACCCTGCTCAACTCCACTTTTTTTTTTTTTTTTATATCCAGGATGGTACCTATTCCCAAACCAGGGCTGTCACCCCTGCAGTGGCGCCAAACCCACAAAGCCTACAGGTACTATATTTGTATGTGTACACACACATTTGGAACCTCTAAACCACAGTTCTTCACGTGTCTGAAGAGTGACCTCTCATTCTGGTTGTTTTCCTTTCAGGAATGGGTGGTGTGTATTTGTTATATTTAGGTTGTTGATACTTCCTCCCCCATCTGCATTCCCTTGGGAATATTTGGGGATGGTGGTGGTGAGGAATTAGGAGAGTGTTCTGGCCCCACACCCACACTGGTTCAGAAAACCTCACTTATGTGGACAGACCTATAAAGGCACAATAGGGGAAAGGCACTAGGTTGTTTTTGTTGTTTTTTTTTCTTACTCCCCTACCCCCTTCCTTTCCCCATTTATCTCCTGTGGCCAGAGGCTCCAGCCAACAATAGCAATGATGGTTCCCAGTACTGCATTCTCCAAACACAGCCTCATGTAGCCTTGGCCTCCTACAGGCAAAGAAGGGAGGTTCTGTGCAACCACAGAAATTGAGTCACTCTGGGACATTTACACTTCCTCCTTCAGCCCCCTCCCCACTTTGTTAAGTCTGGATCTGGGAACATCAAGTATCTGTTGGGCACAGATAAAATTCTCCTTTGCCATAGGTCATTGCTTAGTACTTAGCAGCAGGATGGCCTCACCCACTGATAAATGAGTTTCCCCCATTCTTCTGGCCTCCGCCACATGATCAGGAAGCTAGACTTGTTCTTATCCAACCATTCGAGGTTCCCTGAAAAACAGATACTTATGAAAGCATCATGCTCTAAAAATGGGACAAGAGGTAAATACCAAGGTGGGACATAGTGGAAGAGACTTGGGACATAGTGGAAGAGACTTTTCAGATCGAGAGTCAATATTTATTTTACTATTTTACTATCCTATTTACTAAGTTCTCATTTTCTTTTGCCCACCGCTTTTCAGGTTTAGGGTACAGTTAAGAGTGATTTCAATTTCTGTACTAGTTAGGGGAGGGAGGAAGAAGACCAAGGAATTGGGCTGTCCACTGTACTGAAAGCTGCAGGCTTCAAGCCAGGGAAGAGAAAAAAGTGATTAGTGAGAAAACTTATCCAGCCCACAGACAATCCCAACTAGGAAGAAAAATAAAGAATCTGGGAAACTGAACCCACCTTTTTTCCTCAGTTCCTCTAATACAATCTGAATTGATTCCACAGGAAGCTTCCCTGGTTTAAGGTTAAGGGCATGGCTTACACATGAATTATATTAGATAAAAATCTGTCACTTGCACGTTGAGAATGAGTTACCCTTTCCTTTCCACACACATAAGCATGAAGTTTCTGAACAAGATGGGAATTAGCCAGGCACCAGTGGCTCACGCCTGTAATCCTAGCTACTCAGGAGGCTGAGATCTGAGGATAATGGTTTAAAGCCAGCCCGGGCAGCAAAGTCTGCAAGACTTATCTCCAGGGCTGGGAAGGTGGCTCAGTGGTAGAGCACTTGCCTTGCATGCCTGAGGCCCTGGGTTCGATTCCTCAGTACCACATAAGAAAAAAGAAAAAAGCCGGAAGTGGCGCTTTGGCTCAAGTGGTAGAGCGCTAGCCTTGAGCTGA